GACTTCTTTTTCTTCCTTTTTTGCGTTTTCTGGGAACTCTAAGTAATAGTAAATATCTCGTCCGTCTTTATGTAAATCCCTAATGGTAAACCCTAAATTTGCCAAAAATTCCGGGTATTAGAAACCGGAAAATAGGCCTACGGAAATTTACGTAAGCAAAACCCTAATCTGCCTAAGATTTACGCGAATATTGAAAGTTACAAAAAAAACAAAAAGGAAAAAGCGAACAAACAAACCGAACAAAAAAATAATTAAAATAAGGCATCGTTATGCGAGAAATTATAATTATCAAAACTGACAATAGTCAAAAATTAAAGAATATTTTAGAGAGGGAGGAAATAAATTATTCTATAATTTTTGACGACATTCTAGCTGACGACGGGGAAGAAAATTGAAAAAGAGATATTTTGCTTGCCAATAAGGACGAAGCCCGCAAAAGGGAGATAACCGAATGAGATAAAATAAGTAGAGTGAAAGATATACAAGGTTGGTAATGAGCGAACAATTATACTGCTACGGAGAAATTTATTGAGTGAAATTTGATGAGGAAACAGTGGGTACCGAGATAAGAGGGCCTCGTCCCGGCATAATCATTTCGGATAATTCTTATAACCAAATCAGCGAGCGAGTAATTATTTTACCCTGTTCTCGTACTCTTGCCCCTCTTTATTCTTTTGAGTTGTTTTTGCCCCAAATAGTCAAAAATGTAGATGGAAAGGTAATGATTGACCAAATACAAAGCATTGATAAGGGAAGAATACAAGGTAAAATAAGAAGTTTGCGACCGGACGAAATGAATAAGATTATTGACAAACTACAAAAAATTTTACCTTTGCGGGAACTGTTAAGAGCCAAACTTTAGCCCTTAAAAAGGTTTAACTCTCCTTCCTTCAAAATTAACTAAAAATTTTTCTGTAAATAATAAGTAAAGAAATTAATGAAATTAAATTTGCCTTCTACTTGAACGAGCCAAAAAGCGTTGACTTTTTTTCTTTTGATTTTTTTGAAAACCACGGAAGTAAGAGGCGGAGAGAGTTTTAAAAATTGTTTAGTTGATACTTCTATTTACAGTTCTCTTTCTAATTACTTTGCTAATAGTAGTTGAACGAACACTAAGGGAAAGAATTATCGATAAAGTAGAGAATTTTTTGGCTAAAAGGCCGGATAAATTGGGAAAGTCTTTGACTGGAATTTGAAAAGGCAAACGAGGTTATCGTTACCGCGATTATCGCGTTATCTACGAGTTGAGACAAAATGAACTTATAATTCTAGTAGTGAAAGTAGGTCATCGCAGCGAAATTTACTAAAAAACTGTCTTTTAACCCTCGTAAATTTTCCCTCCCGTTTGTTAAACCTATAAACTTCCCCTATATCGTAATTAATCTTTTTTTCATAACCCTTTTTTTTCATACTCTC